TGTATCGATATTCTTTTGGACCACTGGTCACAGTGTCCTATCATAGTTAATCATCTAAAGAAGCATTTTGTTTGTTTGCCTATAGCCCTGCCCCCTCTTTCTCTCCTCTCTCTGTCTCTCTCTCTCTATCTCCTTCTCTCTCTCTTTCTCTCTCTGTGTGCGTGCTGTGTGTCGCCATTGTTGGGCATACATTTCCAATCAGATAAAGCTGCAGCCAAAACGCACGAGCGCACAAACCATGGCCCTGGCAGAGACAAGAGTCAAAAGGATGAGCAGCTGAAGGAGCGGGAGACGGCAGGCAGCACAGAGCAGTGGAAGGCAGCGTGGAGGCAGTGCCAGTGGCAGTGGCACTGTTATCGAAGCGTTGTTGCCACTACCACTAATTAGTTAATGCATGACCAAATAATTGTTGCCATTGCTGCTTTTGTTTTCAACAATATATGGGATAATATATTATGTATATATAAATAGATATATATATGTATGTATATATCTAGCTCTGTTAGATAAAGTTTAAATTGAATTTTTTGTAGCAGCAAAATATAGTAAAATTTTATGAAACTCTTCTATGAACAACTTTTCGTCAAAGTGTGGAAAATTAAAACATTTATCAGTCTATGAGCTTGGATCTAATGAAATGTGGCTCATGTATTAAAAGTATAGAAACACACAAATACTATTGATACAAGAAAAATGAAATGTTGCTTAAGTAACTTTGATTAAGTAGAATAGTAAAATGGGCCGGCATTAAAGTTCTAGATATAAAAATATAAATAATTTTATAAAATTGCAGGGAAGGTTTATGCCTTCATGAAATAGAATAACCTTTGCGCGGAGATAATTGGATGCAAACGCACCAGATTTTACAATTTTCTTTTTGACAAATTCATTAAAATATTTAGTGAAATAAAAATTAAAAATAAAATGTAGGGCAAAATTAACAATATGAAAATTAACAATGCACATTTATATATTATGATTAAATGTGAATAAATAAAAAAAATAATAATAATAAAAATTTAAATTAAGAATCATCTTATTTGCTGGCCATATAAATAAGAAGAAATAGTTAAAGTGGATAAGTATTCAGTTTGAATACTGACTGGTATTGGGTTACTATCTTATTGTTCTCTATCAGAAAATGAAACCACTTTAAAGAAATTAAATTTATGTTTTTCAAGTTTTAGGGAAACAAAGAACAATATTTCTATCTTGATCTTAGCTAACTTGATAACAGATATGGAAAAATTATTTAAATAATGATCTCAAATTATCGAAACTTATTGAAAGCTATCAGTAGTAGCTAGTACTACTGAGATAAACATTTAAACAGTTGAACTGTCTAATTATTAATTAAGTATTATTTTAAGTCGTGAACAATTTATTAAAAGCTCAGGAGAATTTTCTTTATTATTTCTCAATTTAATTACATAGCTTGCAATTAACTTTCCAGGTCATGTTCGCTATTTATAAACATATAACCTATATATATTTATGTAATTAACAAATAATTCATCTGATACCAGACCATCAGACATTGTAGCAACTCTAGAACTTTCTACTTAAAGCACAAATCACAGGCACCCATCATTCTGAACTACTTAAGCTTAGTTACTTGAAGAACAAACACACTCTCAGGCATTCAGCACTCTTTATCTACTGAGTGTGTTTTAATTTTTTTCAAGAATGAAACGCTTAATATATATATTTAAGTATATGTCGAATAAAAAAAACATAAAATATTAGTAATATAGTTGTTAAGTTAAGGCATAGTTAAAGCTGTTATTGATTAGCATAAGCCGCTTATTAGCTTATTAGCTATATAATCGCCTCGCTGTATTAAGCCGCAGCAAGGCATTTTGTTGGTACGCAGCGAGTAGCTGCCATGTAACATATATGGCAAGGGGAACTAATCGAACTAATCGAAATGCCACCACATTTTGCCCAGCTCTGTCGCAGCCCAATCAGATATTTGATAACGATGCGAGCTGGCCAGGTCTAAACACTAATTAGCTAATGCATGCCCAAATATTTGTGACGGCTGCCTTGGTTCACAGGGCCATTGATTTATGCTCATATTTTGGGCGGGTTATGGTTAGCTGCGTGTGGCAGGCGCATTTCCCATGCATATCTAATACCATACATTGTATATATATATACAGAGGCCTTATCGCAGATGCTGATTAACTGATTTATATGGCTAGTAATTTGTAATGCATTGATCGCTGCGCATTCGAGTCCACAACTGATAGACGGCGGGTTAAGCTAATGTTTCAGTGGCTCGTGAGTATGTCGAGCTAATTGCACCATATATACATATATACCTATATATATATGAATTATTTTTGCCCGAATCACAATGTAATTATATAACAATTATGGGCGTGGTCAGGCAGAAACTTTGTCGCATGTGGTTGATGTTGACTTCCAATGCAATTAGACAAATGAGGCCGCTCGAAAGAGTGGGGGAACTCTGGCTACATCAACACGGAACTTTCGTGATGCTGGCTGTACAGTGATCTATAAGATCGATCTATATGGCCACCATATATAAATATATATACATATCCAATTTTTGTGCTTGGCTGCATTTAACGTGCACTTAATTGTTGGCTCAATTACACTGGCCAAAACAGCAGATGCAGTCGCCATGATATCCATACAAGGTATTTGGTATATTGTTATTATTCTATTAAATGGATGCTTGATGATGAGCCTTGCGTGCCTTTATATATATATGGGAAATTTGTAGCACAAGGTGCAACGGAAACGGATGCTCGCTGACAATTAAATGACATTAGCCAATGCGCATTGATACGTGGCTTCAGCGAATCAGCAAATTTGCCTAGCTGGATGCCGCTTTATGGCCGTCAGACACGCGTTGTCCATTAATTAGCGCCATGCCCATAAAACGGGGAGGCAGTCTAGTTTTTAACTACTCATAAACTTGGCTTTAAGGTACTTACACATATAGTAGATATATGTGTATATGCTTATGTGCTGGCTTTATGGCCAGACTCGTAAAACAAAAGACTTAGGCAACGAACTTTGTCGGCTTTCGCTTGTAAGTTACCTGTGTTGCTTTTAACTGCTGCTGCTGCTGCTGCTGCTGCTGACGTTGTCGTACCAATAAATTAACATGCCATTTCACGCCTCAATACAAGCTCATAACTCATGCGTTCAATAACGAACAAATGCCGCATAACAAATGCCCAAAACTCTTTGCTCGCTGCTCAAAGAACATTCAGTGGGGCAGACGCGCGCACGTTTTGTATTGAAGACGCATCGAAATTTAAAGAGCAATTCATAAGCATAAATGGGCATTAGATTATTATTATTACGCACACACACATACACACACATACGCGCGCGCACAACAATTTCTGTCCAATCATCTGGCCGCAATTAATCAAATTCTTTGTACGTCAAATACCGTTCTACAATTTTCACTAACAAAATTTGAAGAAGAAGAGAAGCATTTGTTTATTTTTTATATTTTTATTTTTTTTTTCATAAATTATTTTATTTATTTTTTTTCTTGTTTTTTTTTTAATATATTTTTTATATATTTTCTGGTGATTGCCTTTAAATTTAAATAAACGTATGTTTGTTTTGTATTTCTGTTTTATATATTCAACTATCAATATGGCCAATTACAATACATTTATCGCATATGCTTACAACATACATACATATCCGTAGCTCTAGAAGTAGGTATACATATACATATTAAATATTACATATATATTTGTTTTTGTTTATGTTTTTCTTTTTGTTTACGCACATAAATTAGGTTAAAAACTAAATTTGTTTTATATGTACACAGAACTTAGGCGATTATTTTGTAGTTATATAAATACTTTTTTTACTTTTTCATTTTTTTTTTTGCTAAAATTATACAAAAGTTGCTAACAAATGTTTGTGTTTTTTTGTTTGTTTTTTTTTTCACTTTTTATAGTTTTGCTTATTTAATTTTTACAAATTGCCTTTAACATTGAATTGATTTAAAAGTATTTGATATTTATTAATAAGACTTAGCCCTAAACATCGAACATATGCAGCTATATATAGATCTTTATATATGTACATATTAAGTGTGTGTATATATATGTCTTACATACACTGTGCTACAATTTGACTTACTTTTGTTTTAGTTTTGTTGCTCTTTGCTCCTCTCTTTGTCTGGGGCTAATAGTTTATTTAAATTTATTTTACATTAATTAAATTTGTATTTAAACTTATGTTTTTTCCTTTTCTTTTGTTTATCACGTCTGTTTGTTTAATATCTAATAATTTAACTAATTTACAGTTTAAAGTATTTTTGCAATTTACAATTGCATTTAATTAATAGGACAAACATTTTGCTGCTGTTGTTTTTTTATATAAAACATTTTTTGCTTTCAATTTCTTTTATCATAATTTATTTTATTTTTTGTTTTTGGACGTGCATTTTGTATAAGTTAAATTTAATGCTTAGTTATCGTTAGTTTCTGTGTGCTTGTTGTAGCTGCTGCTGCTGCTCTCTGCTTCATACATACATACATATATACATATATTAATATTTATGAATTTTGCTTTTGCTTTTATTTAATTTATATTTTATTTTATTTTATTTTATTTTTTATTTAGTTTTTGTTTGTATATATTTTTTGTTGTTTGCTGATTTTATGGCAGTTCATAAAGCACAATTAAATACACCGAATTTGCGTTCAGAAATTAAATTAATTAAGCGAAATATAAAAACAATGAATTCATACAAAAACACACGCACACACACAATCACACACGCACACACACAGTCGCACACATACGAGAGAGCAATAAAAATAATATGTGCGGCCCTTTAATTAATTTTAATGGGCTTTTGTTTTAGCTGCTGGCCGACGACGAAAACTTAAATAATTAAAAATTGCACGCAATGTTTACAATTAGGAATAGCCAGCACTTGACTGCCCGCACGCCCGCTTCCGCGCCCCCTAGCCCCTCTCGCAGACAAGGCAGTGCCTAAGAGTTGAGCAGGCAAGCGAAGGTCCTGGCTGCTGCTGCTGTGGCTGTAGCTGTAGCTGTAGCTTGTGAGTCCTCAGTTTGGCATTGTGTTTGGAAATCGAAGTCAGTTTGTATGAAACGCCTCTAGCTGAACAAGTTGCTGTTCAAGTTGTTCCCGCTCCATCACGTATAGTCAGTGCGCCAAGTGCCCTGCAAGACGAGAGGCAAACAAAGGGAAATCCCGAATTGAAACATTAATAAACAAAGCTCTTATACAACGTTATCTCTATCTCCTTCGCTCTCTCTCTTTCTGTGCTTCTCTTATACTCACCATTGAGCTGAGACCCAAGTGATAGGGCTGCGAGTGGGGCACAACGCCGCCGCCCAACGAACCGGCCGTAGAGAAGCCACCCTGCAGTCCACCCGAGGCGCCCAGTGCGCCCATGCCGCCGGTATACCAGCTGCCGTGCATGTGCGCATGTGCCGGATGCAGTCCGCTGGAAAGGTGTCCATGTTGCGCTGGAATGAACAGCAGAAAATGACGAATATTCAAAGTCAGTCCCAGTCAGTTTGATTTGATGCTTACCCATGGAGGCTGAGAAGCCGCCGCCAAAGCCCTTGGACGGATCAAGTGGCTTGAAGTCGCCCATGCCCAGATGTCCGCCCATTGGCAGACAGCCGCCGCCCAAGCCCTTCTTCTTCTTCGACTTAGAGCTGAGCTTGCGATTACGCGTCTGTATGCCCTCCTTTTTCATGGTAAGTGGACGATTGACCTGCATGAGAAAAGAAGAAGAAGAAGCAGCTGTTTTAGTGGGTGTTGCAACCAACCAGGGGAAAAATCAATAAAGTGTGTCTGCTGCTGCTGCTGCTGCTGCTGCTGCCCGTCGGCAACAGAAATGGGTCAAATTTATGCAAATTCATTGCGCGGCCCTTTTTGGCCGGAAATGCCGCTAACTGCACACGCTGTCTGTTGCAACGCACTGTGCAACAGCGCTGTGTGGCAGCAGTCGGGAACCGGGAAGTGAAAATGAAGTATTACAAGCATTTCTACACGATCAGATAAGCGACATTTGCGAATGCGATTAGTTGGCGCTGATAGCAAAAACGGACGAGCGCCGACCAGAGGCCGCAGGGGAGCGGAGGACCAAGCTACTTTTTCTCTCTCTCTTTTTTTTTTTATTTTTTTCTTTTCTTTTTTTTGTTGTTTGTGAGTCGCTTGGCCATTGTTGAGGCTGCCCTGGCTGCCGCTTCATATGCAATTTCTTATCACTTGCGAACATCTAAGCGGCGGCAGCAACGGCAACGGCAACAACAACAACAATTGCGCTACAATTACAATATTGAGTTACCCATTCGTCGACGACAAAGAAAAAGTTACATTATATATATATATATATATAGTTATATATATAGTTATAGTATATAGTCGTGGCTCGGTCTACCTGGGCGTGAATTACGACATTGTTTGTGGCCCCTTTTTTTTTTTGTGTGTGTTGTGCCCAGAAATTGTTAAATTGTCGAGCAATTGTTTGAGCCTCTTGACGAGATTTTCGAGGGTTGATTGTAATGTAATGCAGCGCAAACAAGAGCAAACGTATCACTTACAGTGGCTGCGCACTGGGAGCGAGGGATGCTGCCGCTGAATTGGACGATCGGCAACGGTAATTGATAGTCTCTGGTCTGTGCCGCTCCCTAACGTTTAGCACAAATTGTGGCAATTAGCAGCTCAGCAGCAGCTGCTGCTCAAAAGCTTTAATTGATGTGCAGCAGCCACTAAACAAAGCATAAAGTTGTTAATGTGCTGATCGCACAGGCCTAGCTCATTAAGAGATTCATAAGAAAACTCAGCCAGATTTTTATGCATAAAATCTTAATCGAGCGTGCAAGCTGGGTGCATGCAACACGCGCCGCTGCAGCTGACTTCGCCAAAGTGGGTGGGCCGTCGCACGGATTGATAGCTACAAAAAGGGCGACAGACAGAGCTCAGTGCCTGTTGTTGGCAAATTGACTGAGACGCTCAAAACGGCGCCAGGCGCAGCCTTATGCAACACACATATATCACATACATATATACATCATTCTAACGCCGCAGGACACTCAGCAGCAGCAGCTGCACACACGCGCAGCAGGAGCTGTGTCTATAGATAAGCTGATAAGATGTTTACAGGATGCACGAGTGTGCGACGGCAAGTGTCTGATTTGGTCTTAATTAGCTGTTTTCCAGCGAACTGCGTGAAGACACGCGTAACGACCGCCGCCCCCTTGCCTTTACGACGACGCGCCTAAGTAGAGTGGAGCTTGAGATGTGAAGTGCAGTCGGCATTTCCATAAAATGTGCCAATCACATGGCCAGATCGCTCAGCCAAAGAGGCCCACACAGGCGGACGACGTCGACGACGACGATGGCGGCCAAATGACAAACGAATTGAATTGAAATGAACTGCTACAGCTAGGCAACAACAACAACAACAGCAGCAACAACAACCACAGCAGCGAACACTGAGCAATGCAAAAAGCGCGCTGATTGGCATCTTATCAAGATGGGACACTGTCCAATTGAAAGAAAATTTTTGCAAAATAAATTTCGCCGCTATGAACGCGCGCAGTATGTGTGTGTGTGTGTGCTAGCTAATGGCCTACACACACACACACATGCTAGCCACCCAAAGCGACAGCATTTATAGTTTTTCTTGCTATTTTTTTTGGCGCATTGCTCATACGCCACGTTGCAAGCAGCCGCCACCGCCGCTTTTAGCTAACAAATCAGATTAGATATTTGGAGCACACATACAATGTTTAAGGCTTGTGCCTGATGCTTTGATATATATCTGCCGCGACTCCAACTTTGCCTTTGACCAGGCTCAATTAAAACATTTTGCTGCCGCCGCTGTCAATTGAACTGCAGCTGCCACACACACACGTACATAAATAGAAAAACCCTTAGCCTAATTAGTTTGCGGCTGCACAGGTGGCCCATCATTTTCGTGCAGCACCGACTGACATGTAAATGTGCTAAAAGTTCAAGTGATTTTTTACTACCCCCAAAAAACTTTGGCCACATTCAACCAAAGTCATTAAAAGCTGACTGCAGGGCATTAAAAAAAAGTGTATGAAAGCAGCGAAGGCATCGAAGGCGTGGCGTCTACTAATGTATCTACTGTGACTGGGGAATACCCTCTTAAAAGTTGTTCAATTTGAAAGGAAGAAGACATAAAAGAAGCTGTGAAGAGAGTGAAGGTCGCTGGAGTAAAGAGTTTATAAAGAAAAAGAGTATATAGAAAATAACATATAAAACTCTGTAGGCATCTAGAAAAAAGGTTTACTTGGGCTTAGCTAACTAAAGTCAACTTCAAGAACTCTGAGGGCTCATTTCACTCAAAATCAAAAGTTATTTCACATAATAAATATGCCGCATATATTAAAACCCAATATTGAGCATGTCAGTGGAAAGATACCCTGTCTCATATTGGGCATATCAGTGACAAGATACAACTGAGATGCTCTCTCACATTTCGCTAGATTTGAGTTATTTCAGTTATCTCAAGCAGCAACAAATACAGGCTAAAGACCCTCGCCTATCACCCTTCGATCTACCACAAGCTCACTGCGCTGTCTCCTTACAGGGTATACAAATCTGAAACCATAAACGCTAACGTTTATATGCTGGCTGGTACAGTGGCTAATGAATATTTAATAAGCCAGAAGTTGGTCAGAGCAACCCTCAAACGTGGTGGCGCCCCTCGGGGCGCGAAAATGTTATTAAATCTAGTTTCCACATGGCTCGACAGCCTTTATATCATTGGCTGCATTTCCGTAATGGGGGTTTGGACGCGTGGGGCACTCGGACTCAGTGAGCCGTAGTCTATTACATAAATTACGCCAATTTCTCGTCGTCGACTGTCGCCGGTTGCCGTCGCACGCGTTGGCCATAATAAAATCAAAGCTTATCGCATTTTCACAGCCAAACACCAGACGCTTATCTTGCAGCAGCAACAACAAACACGAGCAACAACCTCGACGGGCATCTTTAAATAATCATCAACAATTCATCATCGGGGTGGCTGCCGTTGCAACCTGCCACCCTCTGTGGCAGCCCAAAAAGGGGGCGTTGGGTGTGCAATACACTTCATTTTTGTCACTTTTAATCTGTGTGTGTGTGTGCGTGTGTGTATGTGTGTGTTTCCGCTGGAATGCTCGAGTGGCCCGAGCAGTTGTTAAATGTTGCGTTAAATCGCTTAAGCGCTTAACGAGGGTTAAAAGCGAATCGCAAATCACAAATCACAAATCGATATATAGCTGAGCTAGCTGCTGACTTATGTGTATATAGATATATAGCTAAATGGCTACTTGATTTTCCACTTACATTGTGCAGCTTGTAGTACAATCCGCAGGCATTGCAAACCGGCTCGCCGCTGGCGTTGCGCCGCCAAAGGGTTGTCGTTGTGGTCTTGCAATTGGCGCAGGATGTGCCCGCCCGCTTGGCCGCGCTCTGCAGCGACTGCAGCGTCTGCAACGAGAGAGTGAGAAAGGAAATACGCAAAATTATATATTTGATTGGTTTATTTTATTAATGTTTTGTTAACTCGACTCGACTGCCGAATTGATTATGCTAATGTCACACGCCCACAAATATGTTGCCTGCGCTAATTGAACGGTGCCAAAAAACTAACGCAACAAGCAGCAGGCAGACACACACACACATGTGTAGCTGCGACACAGGTATGTGCTCGGTGCAGTTCCTTGTGGCAAACAAAGTTGCTCGACACACCAGGCAACAACATTTTTTAAATGGCATGCGGACTCCAACTTGCTGCCTTTAACAGCAGCATCAATTCATTAAAATGACAATTTTTACAAAACTGCCCAAAACAACAACAGCAACAACAACTGGAGAGCATGTCTGCGCCACGCTTAAATTTCCACGAATTGGCTACAAGAAGCGTAGCCCCAAACTGCAGACCCAAAACATTTTGTGCCTGGACCGAAGCGAACCGAAGCCAGCAACAACAGCAACAGCAACAGAACCAGAACCAGAGTCAGGCCCCAAAAGATCTTGGAGCATGTTTGTGGCTGGCATCTGGGCCTGTGCAGCTTCGACTTCGACTTCGACTACAGCTCTCTTGGCTTGTGTTCATGTTGCTGCTACAGCAACAACAACAGCAAGAACAAGGCAAACACATTGCAACGAGGCCCTAAACTGGCGTTGATCATGTTTGACTTTGATTTTTAATTGTTGCCTCCTGCCTCTGCGGCTCACCTGTTCTGGTTGTGTCTTGCTGCCACGCTGCCACGCTGCCATTAACATAAATCAGAGGTCATGCCACAGCGAGGGCCAGTGTCTGCATACTTTTTGGTGGCACTGTTGCCGTGTGTTAACGAGCTTGTAACAATTTCACATACAGACAGCTGCGATTGCAGTCCAAAAAAAAAAAATCGAAAATCGAAAATGTGCGAGAATTCAAAATTCATTTGCAACGCCTACAAATCGTGGCAGTAACCAAGCAACTTGTGGTAATTATGTGGCAGCCACAACGAGGACAAGCTTCGACCAGCAAATGCCTAAGCGAAGACACACATATATACAGATATATATATAAATATATATATAAATTAAGTTGTTAACATGACAGTGCAACAAAATGCACTAAACAGGCGAATGCCACAAAATGTGGCAAGTCTCCAAACTGGTCGCAGTTGTAGGTGCTAAAATTGCAGCATGTTTAAGCAGGCGCTGCTTAACTAAGAGAGTGCCTCCAAATGTGGCACATAAATCAATGTCAGGCCAGGGCCGCTAGAGGGCGGCAGGGAGAGCAAGAGGTAGAGGGAGTGGCAGGTTGTGGGGCAGCATCGCATTGACAAACTGTCAAACATTGTCAAACGTGGCGCATTTTAATTGAAATGCAAAAAGCGCAAGCGCCAACACTCAAACAACAGCAACAACAAAAACAACAACAAACAACTGCTCGCATACAAGATGGCGCTTGCGATAAATAATACTATACAAAAGCCAAAGACAATACACTAAATTCCCATATATAACAGATGTATATAGTTGTATATGTATATGTATATATCTATATATTTATATAGCTTGTCTCTGTGTGCGCTGAGCTCATAAATTTAAATTTCTCAATGCGCTTAAGCATGACAAAATGCCCTTGCCACACTACACTTATGAAGGGTATTGCAATGTTGTCGCGAAAAATGTGATATGTATATATATATATATATATATGAATAAGTATATATATACTATATGATCTTAATTTAAGAGTCTTAAGCTGCTTGTTTAGCTTTGCTACATGAACTGTTTCAAACTATAGAAATTATTGAAAGACTTTCACTAGCTTAACAGCTACCAAAACTAAATATTTGGCGTATTCTGGCAACTGCTCGTTGTTATTGGCCAATTGGGATTCAGGTATATTTTATAGTTATATATGATAGTCATGTCAAAGTCAGTTTGATGATTGCTTCAAGCAAGCTTTTCTGCATTCTCAGCTAGCTCTTTGTATCTTTGCTATCTATGCTTTCTATCTCAGCTTTATTGCTTTTTATATGTCAACTATATAAACTATATAAATCGTATAACTATATCTGACTATACTATATCCAATAAGCAGCTTAAGGATTGCTAAAAGTTAAAATTTATATTTAAGAAAATAATTTTTGAGCTAACAAATCAATTTCAAAGCTTTCAAAGCTGTCTCCATACGTTGCCAGGACTAAAAACTAAATGAAGCCATTACAAAGCAGCTTCACTGGGCCGTTAAGGCATTTATATTAATTCTCAATAAGAGTACTGAAGTGTTCTATAAGATCAGGCTCGCTGGCTTCCTCTCATTAAATACATACTTTAAATTTGAGACTATGCTAACAGAGCGAAGCTGCTGCAACTACTTGGAGACTATCTCGCAGAGATCAACGTCAAGTGAAGTTCAATGATGATAATTTATTATGCACACATGACTTATGCGCCAGAGTATTTGGCATTCGTCATAGTGCAATGACAAATTCCTCATTATTATTATTATTATTTTATTTTTTTTTCATTATTGCTGCCACCTTGCGTTGATTTATTACAGTTGCAACTGGCCACAAAAAATATGTCTGCAGCTCACAAAATGGCGTTTGCTTGAATTTAATTTTAAGCTTTTGAGCTGAATTTAAATTTGTTTTTCGTTTTGAATTGTTTATGTTAAATGTGTATGCAAATTGTGTTTTCATTTAGACAAAAGCGCACGAGGCGCATTTAAATATTTAATTGAAATTGAAATTGTGAAAACAAACGCAATAACAAAAATGTGCCACGAAAATTGTGTGAAGCGAGTGAAAAGCGACCGAAACAGTAAATGCTTTTGTACATAGGAGGCGCGTGGGCGGGGCGGGCGGTATAGAGAGGCGTGTGAGGAGCCGAGCTACAGTTCTATTTATTGCGCAGCTTTTGTGCGCTGGGGATGGCAATGCCCTTTGCCATCTTAGATATCGCACCAAAGACGCAGCAGGCCAAAAGCGAGAGCAAGAGAGCTACAAAGACAGAGTGAGTAAGAGAGAGAGAGGGCGAGCCCCAGCCGTTTGCCCAGAAAATGTTACGTTTATCTCAGTGTAACATCTTTTACTTGGGGGCACACAGTCAGCCGCTGTATAAGTGTCTGTATCTCTAGATGTATCTGTATCTGTGTGTGTTATATATCTGCAGCTGTAGCTCTGCGTGTGTGTGTGTGTGTGTATTACCCCACTGCCCACGTTGCGCCGACATTTTATCAGCTCATTTTTTTTCTCTTCTTTTAGCTTTATCTAACAAAACATTCATTAAATTGTTCGCAGCCAGCGCAAAAAGTCGTTTGCAGTTGCTGTCTGCCAACCCTCAGCGCTTTGGGGGTTGTTTTGGAGCAGCCCCCCACACACACACACACAAAGAGAAGATGGCAAAAGATAGCGCCCAGATCTCAGGCAACAGCGCAACGAAAATTTCTATATCTGATGCTGGCTTTGACTTGGGTAGCTGTCAGTTGGTGGTTTGGGTGGTTTTTTGGGTAGTCAATTGGGTGGCCTGTTGGGTGGCTTGTTGGGTGGCTGCCAGCGCCAGTGAAATGAAATGAAAGGCAGAGGCAGAGGCAAAGGCATAGGCAGAACACAGGCCCAGGCGAGGTGAGGCGAAGTGCCAACAAAATGTCGCTGCCATAACAGTTACATTTAGACAAGAGTGCGCCTGCTATATATATATATATATATATATATATATATATATATATATATATATATATAAGTTATATACATATAAATATATATATATCTTTCTGTGTGCACTGTGAAATTTAATTTAAAAATTCAAATTTCATTTTTTGTGGCTGTCCTAGGCTCTCGTAGTCTCTGATGTTTTTTAGCTTTTTCTTTCTCATTTTTATTTTTTATATTTCTTTTATATCCTGGGCTCATTTCCTTTTTGGCCAAAACGGATTCGTTGTTGCGCACAGCCACATGCTGTTGGTAGCTGGGGCGTGGCAATTCAGGCTGTTGCTCTGGCACTTTCATGTTTATGCTGTTGTTGCTGCTCGAAGGGTTGCCCGTGCACCGCTCGTTGATTGGCTTGGTCTTATTTTTCGTTTATTTGAGCCACATTTGCCTAATTAATACATCAGCTCGACTCATTTGCTGGCACGCACAAAATAAAAACAAGAAAGAAAACCAAAAAAAAAAAAAACACAAAGCGAAAACTATTGCTAAAAATCACACCTGCTGCTTGGCTAGAAAAATCAATAAAATGTTTTACGGAACAGGTATAGCAACAGCAACAGCAACAGCAACAACAACAGCAACAACATCCAATGTTGCTGCTGCTACGACAAGCTATTAATGTCGCTCATTAATGCTGCTCAATGAATTTTACGAGCCTTTTGGAGCTGGTCACAACTTGTCGCAGACAGCGCCCAAAAGGTTTCGCTCTTTTGCATTTTAAACAGCAACAACAGCTACAGCAACAATGACACTGACAGCAACATGGTCAAGTCTAAGAGTGTAAGAGTGTAGCCCGCGATTTGTGAAGGCATGAAAATCGTCATTAATATTTGTCACTGGACATTGCAACTGCATATATAAATTATATAGAGCCTGGCCCCTTTGGCTGGCTAGCTGGCTAGCTGGCCAGCTGCTGTTACCAAAATGAATGTGGTCTAAACACGCGTCCTGCCTGCGGTTGGGGGCTGCGTGCCTGGCCACATTTTCACATATTGTCTGGCCAAACTGGAAGGGTTAGAAATGCAACCCTTTTGCCCTTAGCTGCAAATTATGCCTTTGCATATTAAATAGATTTATATTGTTCTGTATTTTTTCAACCCGTTCGCATAAAGCAGTTCGAGCAGTCCGAGCAAGCTTTATGAGCCAGGGGCGCCCTAACAAGCAGGCCTTAATCATCTGTGCGACCCGCGCACAGACTCCACAAGCTCTCTCTTCCTCTCTCTCTCTCGCTCTGCCTCTGTCGAGCTGTTGGCTTGTGAGAGCCTGTTTCATTATATTATTGGCACGCCCTGTTTTGCGGCTGCGGCTGCGGCTGCGCTTCATATCGTTAATTTTTAATTGATCTGCGCTGCGGCACAATGTTGCAGTCAGGTTCGTCAGCTTGTGCCTCAAGCAGAGAGCAGCAGCAAGAGCCAGCCAGCAGGACACTGTTGCTATATGGCCACATTTCAAGTGCATTTTAATGGCATTAGGCTGCCCACTTGATGAAATGAGCGCGCTCTTAACAAGATCCTAGCGCCCCACGACAACAACAAGTGAACAGCCAAAACAAAATATAAAAGTCGGGCGACTTAATGCGCTCGATTGCGTATACGCCCCGTTTGCAGAACGTGCATTGAACTTTTACTTTGGCTCAGTTTGCTGTTGGCTTGCTTGCTTTAGTTTTGATTCGTTTTAGCTGTTGTTGTTGTGGTTGTTGTTGCTTTATCGATCGCTTTGACTTTGACTTTCATTTGGCGCGCATTTTTTCGGTAACTTGATTTATACGTGAAGCGTCTGCGCCTTGCATTTAATTTTTGGCGTCACTGCCTCCAGTTTTGTTAGCCTTGTTTTCTGCTGTTGCTGCTGCTGCTGCTTGTGATTTTAAATCGCGTTCAGCGCGAAATTCCCACGCCAAAGGGCTACCAATTCAATTCGATCCAGTTCACGTCTCAGTCTATCGCACATATGGCGCACACACAATGCGCGCTCAGCAAAAATGTGTTAATTAGAATTTCGTATAGTTAACTATCTCTCTCTCTCTCTCTCTCTCTCTCTCTTTGAATTTTGATAAGCACATTCTATGCTCCCCCACGAAAAAAATGTCGAGTCAGCGTTTGTCAATCACTTGACGCCCGTTAATTTTATTGATGATTGTGGCTTTAAGCCCAGCCAGTTAGTTGGCTGTTATGTCTGCACAGTGGGATGCCTAACATTTGAAATACAGATCTAGAAATCTGACACGCTTAACTGACAGCTAGACAGCTCTGGCATACCGACGAGGCTTTGCTCTTACCAAAATCTTAGATTTGCTATTTAAAATTTGGTATCAATAATATTTAAATTATTTTTTTTATATTTTTAAATATTTTTAATTATTTTTAAGGTAGGTTTATTTATATATAATATTTTGCTGTGCTCAAAAATCAAGTTAAATAAATTGATATAGCTGAAAATAAATAGTTTAAGCTAACTTTTGACTTGAATTTTGAGCATTTTTTTAAATATTTTGTATTTAATATTTTAATTTTTTAAAAATATATTTTATAATTATTTTCTTTTATTTTTTATTGTTTTTATTTAATTATATTTTTTTGTTTTGGTTAAATTTTTTTAAAATGTAATATTTTTTAAATATGTTATAGTTATTATATTTTTTATTTATAATTTTTATATATTTTTTTTTCCAATTTTGAAGACTTATAATTTTTTAAAAAAAATTCATTATTATATATTTTATTTTTTTTTAATATTATTTTTCATAAATAGTTTATTATTATTTTATTTTTATGGTATTTTTTTTATTTTGATTTATTTTTTATTTTATTATTTTTTTCTTAAGTTTTTTTATATTAATTTGAAATTCTTGAAAACTTTTAATGTGCTAAATTTTAACACTTTCGTGAGACCTGAGCTAAAATTTATATGAAAGCTTGCCTTATAACTGTCAGCTCATCAAATTTATGCCCGCCTTTAACATATTTTGATATTTATATAAATAAACAACGATAAGTCTTGTGACTAAGTTAGGGCATTCCAAATTGAAATTGATGTATTTAATAGCCGTTAAATGGCGACTAATGCAAAGTGAGCTAATGCTCATGTTGCTGTTGTTGTTGCTGTTGGAATACGCCTTTGATAAATAATTAATTAAGCGGCTTTTGTGAGCACTTAAAAAAAACATTTATAAATGATTGTGTCAAGTGTTGATGTGTTTATTGTTACAGCAAATGCAACAACAACACCAGCAGCAGCAGCAGCAGCAGCAACTGCAGCTATAAATGTGCAAATGGCAATTGCAAGTTGTTCGGCAGTCTTTGCATGCAAATGATATGAGGCAGCGTAATAAGCATAAAAATAAACAATTTTCAGCGCTTAACAACAAAATATATGTACGAACAGCTTGCCAACGTTTTGTTCAATTTATTGTGTGAAAATTCGCATAAATTAAAAAAGCAAAAACAAAACAACTGAAAGTCGACTGAGGCATAAATATTATGCAAAATGCAAGCAACGCCCCTGCCCATGCCATGCCCCTTGGCCGTCTTGACTGACTAACATATGCCGTTTATATTTATATTTATATAAGTCACGACTGCCATTGCCATTGCAGTCGCCTGAGATGCGCCCAGCTCTGACTGACCTTAACAGCTGCTTTGCCAGGCACTTAACATGCATTTACAATTAGCCATAGAAGCTGCCAGCTCTCTCAAAATGTGACAAATTCATGTCGAAGGTTGCTGAGCAAAACTGCAATATTTCGGGGCTTGGCCATAGAGCCTGCGGCTGTGTTAAGCATTTTCGACTTATAATTAAATGCAATTATTGTAACGCCAGCGGCCAAGCCAAGCAGCCCAAAACAGCAACAACAACAATGAGAGACGCAACAACTGCAAACATATATAAGCGAAGGCGACTGAAACGCTGTTGTTGTTGCTGCTGCTGCTGCTGCTGCTGCGGCTGGGCGGGCTAAAATACATAAATTAAAAATTTGCATTGTTCTGTTTCAGCAAGAGCAACGGCAACACAAAGCAGACAATTTTTGTGCTGCTCAAAAGTTACGACTTGTTGACTGTTTTCATACAATTCGGAAATTTAATTAAAGGCAACCGAAGCAGACAATGAGATGCGCAACAGTCGGGGCAGGTGCAGCTGCAGTTGTAGTTGAAGTTGAAGCTCGCCAATGGGCACTGGGCAATGGCCAATATTCGCCGTATGCAAAGTCGCCGCGAGTCTTGACCCCCTCGCTCTGTTGCAAAATCAATACAATTGCCACCCAGCAAGTCAGCAAAGTCAGCGTAGTCAGCGCGCGCTCTAAAACAATTGAATTGCATTTCAAGGCAAATGCCACAGGCGATGCAAGGACATTGATGGGCCGCATCCTGTTCGCATATACAGTCGCTGCCATAAGTCAGCGTCAGCGGCACATAAATTTTAATTTGTTGCATATTTTGTCAACGAGAAATCAACAAACACTTCAGGTCAACTTGGCTGGCTCCAGCTGTGAATTTCTTGGGAATTCCCTGCGTTTGCCCGCGCTGCCACGTCAGGCTGTGTGTGTGCGTGTGTGTGTGTGTGTGCCTTCTTCTACTTATTTGATTTTGTTGTTGATTTTCATCCAATAATGGTTTATTTATGTTAATGTTATGCAATCAAAATGCATACGATTTAAATGCCAATAAAAAATCAACGCGACGAGCCAAGACACGAACCCGAACTGCATTTAACAGTTGTTCGTTGTGGGTTGTTGTTGTTGTTGTTGGTTGTTGTTGCTGGTTATTTTGTTTTTACGCATGTTTAATGGACTAATTTTGTATAGGTCCAGCTCGCAGTGAGCTGTACTGTTGCTTTCTCTTTCACACGCAGTGACAGCGTGTGAGTTCGTTGCTTAAGTCTTTCGTTTATGCTGCTGCTGGTGATGTAGTTGGCGCCAGGGCAGACCTTCGGACGGACAGCGTTACATATATTTTCATAGTTTGTTGCTGTTGATGCGCACGCTCGATAAAAAACGATAATGTGCCTTGGCCAGCAGCGCGGACAACAGACACACAGAGAGAGAGAGAGAGAGAGAGTGAGTGAGAGAGATGACAACAGTTGTTGCGAGGCTTCTCCAATAACCCACACAAAACAACGAGCGACCGCTTGGGCTGCTGCCTGATTATGTTTTTAGTGCGTTAAGTGATAATGATGATGCGCCTTGATCGTTATCAGCCAAAGCGTTCACTCAGCTCTGGCTGCAGTCGTCCAACAAACTGCAATCAAGACGCCAGCTAGTCAGAAAAATGATAATTAAATACATGCTCTCTCTCTCCCTCGTTCTCACTCTGTCTCTCTGCGTTATGTTCCAGGAATTATTATGACATTTGAGAACTTTCACGCTGCTTTTTATGGCTTTTGGCGACAGAAACGTGCGCCGAGATTGATGCGCCAGCAAATTCCCAAGAATACAGTTTATAAATTTATTGATCAATTTGTGGCAATGTGTGGAAGCTGCACGCAGCGGGTGTTGCACAGACTCTGAGCTTAACTAGCATGCACTATTCACCGTAACTTACCAGTCTTCGCTTTGGCTTGATCAGCGGCCGATTCTGTCCGTTCATTTTGTAGTAGAGGCCACAGGCATTGCACAGATAATGTCCGGTGCCATCGCGTCGCCACAGCGGCGTGGAGGTGGCACCACAGTTTACGCATTCGCGGCCCTCTGCAACGACAAAACACAAAACGGTTAATAAAACAAAAAATAAAATAAAAGAAAAAATATATGTATGCATATAAGCTAAAATTTGTTCTAAATTGGAGCTGAGTGCCGAGTGCAGGCAGCAACAATGCGCCAGCTTGTTAGACAAAAAAAAAAACAATACAAAGTAGCAGCAGCAGCAGCGGCAGCAGCAACTCGCTGTGGCACACATTTTTCAGCTGTTTCACAGTCTTGTATTTTTTTTGCTTTTAGGTTTATTTTAATGCTCGCTCGCAGCAGTGCAGCTGGGTATATAAGCTTGGTGCGCTGTTAAGACTTTAAAGGAAATATATATACAATAAATTGGCTATAATTTGTGGCAGTTAAAGTCTTTGTTTAAGGTGTCTACGTAGGAATTATTTAGTTTGTATTTTTAAAGAGTTTTTATTTTGGATTTTCTTGAAATTATTAATTGAAATTATTAATAATTAGAAGTCTTTGTTGGGTAATATGTTTGACATATTTTGTAATTTTTTTTTTAGATTTCTGTTTGTTGATTCAGCAACTTTTGGGTGTGTATGACCTTTGTGGGCGTGGCAGATTAATAAGTTATATATCCTATAACTCTTTAAGCTATAAAGCTAACAAGAGCGCCATGGCTTACGCTATTAATAAATTGTAGAAGACTATGAATATGCCCAAGGTATTGTCAGCCATGAGCTGCTCTACAGAAAAGCTAAGCAATAAGTGAACTTTGTGGGCATAGCATAACAAGAAATTGCAATTTTTTTTAAACCAAAGAGCTAAGAAATATTTTTGATAGGTCAGGAATGAAATGGCTTAGAAATAAGTTTAGTTATGCAAGGCTAGACTATAAAGAACTAGATTGAGCACTTAGAACTCAGAACTCTTTTATGATCTTTAATTATTGCCGTAGAAATTTGAATGACTTCAGTTAGCTGTTGAGCTCAGCTGTTAATAGCTTCGATCCAATTGAACGAGCATTAGACAGTCGCTTATAGCCAGCAGCAACATGCTAACTTGTATTTATTGTGAGTGTTTTTTTTCTTTGTTTTTCGTTTTTTGTTTTTTTTTTTTTGCTGGCATAAAACGCATGGAAGCGGAAATGATGGATTCGCTGGCACTGTAGCAGTGCAGCGTCAGCCTTCCTTGCTGACTCCACACATTTTAATTAAGCAGCGCCCGGTTCTAGTGACTGCAGTCGGCCCCTGGGCCACCCCTACCCAGTTTCGGTTAGCAGGCCGCAAACGCAACTCATTTGAATAACTTTAGGCATAATTTGTAAGCGACTTGACTTGACTTGGGCCCCGGGAGCATTTGGCTTTGAAAATGAAGTTGCAAATGTAACGCGTTATTAACGTTCGTATTACAGTTGGCTTTTGTCTTTGTTTCGCAGTCTCGGAGTGTATGCGGCTGCTCTCTGGCATTTAATGACTGCCACTAAATGGGCTTCATTATATCGTTTGTCTGTTTGTTTGTTCGCTTCAAATTGAAATTTAGTCATAAAAAAGTAGAGTCTGCTCTAACAGATTTAACGCTACTTTTTGGCCCCCAAAATATGGGGCAATTTGAATTGGCATAGCTAACTCTCTGTGAGTGTGTATGCATACTTCTGAAGGCACTGTAATTAATTAACGTTTCGCTTTACATGCCCACATAAGCATAACTTTTATTCCTTTTGTTTTTTATTGAATATTAGCTCAAGTCACACCCAAGAAGGCGAGCGCGAGGTGGGGCGAGTGCTGGTTGCTCATTAAGTGCGTTGTCAACTCGTTGCCTGCCCAAATGCCATTAGAGACATTTTGATGACAGTTTTTTGCTGTTTCGACTGCTGTTTTAAGAGCCTTACGTGATTTGCTGCTGTTTATACGCGCTGCGCTTCGACTGCCACAGCAGGACAATCACACGTGTCCTGCTGCTGCTGCTGCTGCTGCTGTCCCGTTGGCATGCCAGGCATTTTGTTTTTGAGCTTTCAAAGAAATTAAATTAAACGTTCTGCGTGTTACCAGCCGCCGCGGGTGCCTGTCCAGCGCACCACGCGCACCACCCAAACCACTCGCCAGGGGCGCGCGCGTTTAATAAACAGTTCATTTGTTTTCATTTAATCGCAACTTTACTTTGCTTTTCCCCACAAATATATATATATATATATATCTTTTTATAGTACTTCAGTTATTTCTTTGTTTTTCTTTTCTTTTTGTCTCTGTGTACGGCTTTTTTAATTGCCGCACATTTGGCACTGGGCGTTGTTTGGTTTTCAGTTTCAGTTTCAGTTTCAGTTTTTCTTTTCCTTTTTTTCAGATTTTTTTTTGGGGCCTGCGTAACAAAGGCCCCAAAGCCAAATTGCCGCCAATCAAAAAAGTCACACCCACTGTATAAAAATTGCATAAATTATTTGAAAGGCGCTGAAATTGTTTACAGTTATTTGTTTGACTCTGTGTTTTCCTTCTTTGTTTGTGAAATATTTTGTATGAAGCGTTTAATTCTTTTCATTGAGTTGTAGATCGTGAATTGTTGTTGAGTTCTCAATTGGGATTTCAATTTTATAGTGAAAACATATTTTTAATTTGTAATTAGTTGTAGAGTGTAGACTGCGGCTAGACTGTGTTCTAGAGATTGTAGTGAGAGTTTCCTGGACTAAGAAACTGAAACGGTTTTTATATGCCTGCAACATCTCAATTTTCCAGGTCGCATATGCAGCACTTAGAGCTCTTTGCCGTCTTTCGTCGACTCGTTGTACAAGTTTGAATCAATTCATATTTTAGTTTGGGTAATTTATAGTTAGTAAATTCTAGTTATCATGTTGCGCACTTCATAGGCTTTGCTTTGTATAATATCTTCTTTAGATTGCCAAATTGCCTTAGATCAATGCAGCTTACAGACTTCTATCATTCAAGTTAAGATGGGATATATGCCTATATATAAATAAAACCTCTCTGAGCTCTGATATCTTTAGCTAGTTTGAAACATGATTATGTAACATTCTACTACTATTCTACTACTATTATTCTACTATTCTACTATCATTGTACTACTATTCTACTACTATTCTATTATTATTCTTCTACTATTCTACTACTTTTTTTATACTGTTCTACTACTGTTCTTCTACTATTATACTACTATTCTACTATTATTGTACTACTATTCTACTACTATTCTAATATTTTTATTTTTCCCTATACCAAAGCTCTGCTATGATCCTGGAGCTTATCACTTTATAATTTGACTGCCTGAAGCTGCTTTAATTGAAGTGTCCAACAGCCACACACACGCCCATTGCCACTCTATACTATATATTGACCAGCTGCTGCACAGCTTAAGCTAGCCATCTAGTATCCCAATCGCAACTTAATTTCATTCAAATTTCCAACTCTCGAAACTCTTTTGTCTAACACTACCAACAGCTTGGGCTGGTGCGGCGCACAGTAGCCCAGTTGAGTGCGGAAAACTTTATGCATTTATTGGCTGTGATAAATCCGAATAGAGGTCGTCTCTATATACACATATATGCAGGCCATATTAAGCCATAAAGTGTGGCTTTTGTGGCATTGTGAGTGGTTGTTCTTGCTGTGGTTGTTCTTTTTTTTCGTTGGTTTTGGTTTTCTTCATTTTTTGTTGCTTTTGTTCTAGCACAATTCCAATGAAGTTCGCTGTGGCTGCTGCTCCACACCACTCGCCAGTTAATAAATCAAATGTGTTAATGATGTTTTTACCCAGTGTGCCCACTTTTGACAACAAAGGCAACACAAGAGCCAACAGCCAACAGCCACAACGACAGCGCTGGCGACAACTACTGAAGGCTTTGCCTGAAGTAGACGTATCCGTAATATGAATCCCACTCTGGGCTGGCTACGAGTTTGCGCACGCGCACAGCCTCTCACACACTCACACCCCTCTCTCTCACTCACACGCTCTCTCGCTGCCTTTTGTTTTAGTTCACTTTTTATATGATTTCTGCTCTGATCTATAGGATCCTTTCGCTGTGTGTGTTTTCTTTTCTTTTCTTATTTTATTTTATTTTTATATGACCATTAAATGTTTTTTGGGTTCTTTGTTGTTATTGTTGTTCCAGCTTTGTTTTGATTTCAATTTGCCTGTCGCCGGGCTGCTGCTGCTGCTTCTGCTGCCGTCTGGCTGCGCTCCTCCTCCAGCTGCCCTGGTGCCTCTCTTTGACAGTTTTTCACATTTTATTTATTTTCATTTTCATTTTCCACACAACACGTAGCAGGTTGGCCAGATTCTCAGTTAGCCTATGATTTAGTAGCATGTTATAACTGTTTCTCTTGTGGTCCACACAGTCCGCAGACAGAGTCACATCCACAGCCACAGCCACAGCCACATCCACATGGGCACAATCATCCGCAGCATTGCGTTGTAATTTCTTGGAAATTTGTGCACACTTTGGTATTTCGTTTTCGTGTGCTCTTCTTTGGGTTTTTGGTTAAGGTTGTTGTTGTTGTTGCTGTGTTTTTTTTTACGGCCACGGGTCCGTGTGACATTGTCTGGCCATGGGCCTGAACCCGAAAACGTAGTGAGCCCAAGTGAGCGTAGCATCTGAACCTGTTTTTAGGGCCTGATTTGGCATTAAGGTCTTCGGCTATATGGATGTCCGAGTTTAAAGGTCTAACTAACTGTGGTCGCTGCTTGATTTGACATTTGGCGTCAGTGGCCATAATTGTCTAGAATTTATGTCTTGTACCTTTTCAGAGACAACGAAAATTCCCTTTAATTTGTTAGTCGCATGTGGGCAGGCCCAATGCGAAGGGTCAACTGCAGTTTTAATTAGCTGTCGTTGTTGTTGTTGCTGTTGTTTGTTGATATTAATAAACATTTATACTAGTTAAAGGTTACTTAGATATATATAGACAAAGTTTGACAGTTACAGCAATAGACAGACAGAGCAAGATAGACAGAAAAAGAGATAGATAGATAGAGAGAGAGAGAGAGAGATAGAGACATTTTACTGGTGAACAAGACAAAAGACACATGTGGATGTGTGAGTAAATAGTTTGTTGTTTGTTGAATTTGATATATTATTATTATTTTTTGCTTTTAATGAAAATGAAACAACAAAATGAAAATGAAAAAAATTAATACAATTTATATAAAATGCAAGCTTAAGTAAAAAGTATGAATTATTTACACGCAGAGCAGAGAAAGAGAGGCTCGATACAACTGGGAGTTCGCGGCTGAGTGGCTAGCTGGCTGGCTGGCTGGGTAACGCCTGTGGCCATGCCACGCATGCCTCAAATAAGCAGCAAGCGCCTCATTTTAAGGCCACAGCTGTCAAGGCGCTGGACAAAGGAACAATGGACGCGCGCACAAGAAGCTCATCCCTGCTGTTAAGCTGCGCCTGCAGATCGGACAGAGAGACGCATGGACAACGAACGGCTGATTGAGTGAAGGTTGCGCATTGCATAGAGGCCTGCTCCATGGACACTCGCATACCCATATCAATTACTTAAAGCTCATTCACAACATTTTTTATTTTCACCTGACAAAAGCCCAAATGGCATCCAATCAATTTGGCCAGGCGCTGGCCAAGCATAAATCCTTAGCTGCACATGGACATGTCTGGCTAAATGTCTTGGCTTGGAACTGAGTCTTCGGGAATGCGACTTGGTTGGCCCATTGATTGCTCAAAGGTAGAGAGAGAGAGGGAAGCAACCAACACATGTTCTTGCGCCCCGAAAAAAACTTATCGCAAGCGATGCGATAAACGATAAATAAATACAAAAAGAGGCACAGTGGAGCGTGGATTGGGTAGAGGATCGCTGGCTAACGAACGCGCCCGCAGCCAAGGCAGGCTGCAGACAACGTTTTTGGTTAGTTAAACAGCAACAACAACAACAACGAAAAAACTGTCGCCTGGCATCGAGCAAATGAAATAATATGAAGCGCAGGCAAAACATTTTGTCAGCGCGCAGCTTCCTACATTGCAGCTGCAGCTAAAGATGCAAAGCCTGAGATACACAGCACTACAAAGCGCACTGGGCTACTTAGTTAGTTCACATGCCAGCGTTGTTGAGCTTCCTCGTTTGAGTTGAGTGTTGCCTGAGCGAATGAGCTAACAGTAACAGAGCTCTGTTAACTAACAGTGCGCTGTTAGCTTGGACAGCTGTGTTAGCTGCTGTTGCTGGCTGCCTTTGGAGGGGTTGCAACTGCAACTGACGCAACGACCCTCAACCCGCAACCTCTCACGCATTGTCGAGCGGCTATAAAGTTGTCGTTGTTGTTGTTGTTGTTGTTGTTGCTGCTGTTGCTGGCAGCGACATGCGAAACCGGCTGAGACGGCGACTGTGAAGCAGGTGCAGCAACAAACTTCCGCAGCGAATGCCAGCGCCTTAGTCTGTGTGTGTGTGTGTGTTTGTAGCAGCAGCAACATGAAGTAATTAACAACTACAACAACAAACTACAACAAGCTGATGACGCAGCGCAGCCCAGCTAAAGCGTTGACAATAGCATTGAAGTTTTTGCGTTTTACTTCTTTTTTTTGCAACTGCTGCCAGTTAAGCTGCTTCTTCTTCTTCGCTGCTGCTGCTGCTGCTGTGTTGAGTTCATGGTGGCGTATACGCAATGTCACAAAGCTGTGTGAGCGGGCGTGGGGGAAATCTGAATTTGCCTGAATGCATACAGGAAACATGACCAAGTGGCGGGAATGTGGCCAGAGCCATGAAGTACGGTGCACAGAAGGAGCCAGAGAGAGAAAGAGAGAGGGAGGGAGGTAGATAGAGATAAGAGAGAGGGAGAGAGCGCTCATGTCAAGTGCCGCTGAAAATGTTGAAGAGTTGGTGCCACAGAGTGCAGTTAAGTGAAGAGCTTCCCACGTGTGTGCGAGCGTGTGAAACGAAAGGAAAATCAAAAGCCAAAACAAATGAGTGAAGGAAAAAACTTAAGCTAAAATCACAAAAAAAAAATAATAAAATAAAACTAAGACTAGAAACTAGAAACTAGAAACGTAATCGATAAGTGTTTGCGCACAACACAGATCTAATAAATCGTTAATTAAGCAAATCGTTTATCGATCAATAATCAATCGAACAAATTAACAAAATCAATTATTCACCCACACCACCCACACCAATACCAATATCTTTTGTCTTGCTTACCAGCGCTTGTCCTGGGCTTTGTGCGCACGGGCTTGACATCGAGTCCGATGTTCAGGCTGCCAGCGCCGCCAGCGCCGCCTCCGCCGCCGCCACCGCCGCCGCTGGAGCTGCTGTGACCGCCGCTGCTCATGGCACTGCCCATGCCGCTGCCCATGCCCAGTGCACCGCCAGCACCACCAGCGCCAGCGCCACCACTGCCATGCAGGCCCACACCAGCGCCTGCCTGACCATGGTGGCTGTGACTGTGATGATGATGATGATGCGCCGCTGCCATGCTATGCCGCACAGCGGCTGCCGCCACGGAGGAACTTTGGAACATGTTGGCAGCGGCAACCGCTGCCTGATGCTGCGCCGCCGCATGATGATACGAGGCATAGCTGCTATCGTAGCTGTTGGCATTGTTGGCCGCATAATGCGCCTGGGCGGTGCCATCGAACAGGCCGTTCGACGTTGATGCGGACAAAGAGGCGGAGGCGGATGAGGAGGCATTGCTGTTGCTATTTTGCTGCTGCTGCTGTTGCTGCTGTTGCTGCTGCTGCTGCTGCTGCTGCGACGTCGCTTGACTGCCGCTGCCACCGCCGCCGCCACTGCTGCTGCTGCTATTTGAGCTATTCGTATTGTTCGTACCTTCACGCTGCTTGGGCGCCGAGGATTGGGCCGGTCCGGAGCTGCCCGCGTGCGCTGCTGTGGGGCCGCCGTTCTGTATGGAGGGCTTGATGTCCAGCGCACAGCTGGCGTCCGTCAGTGAGGTAGAGCCCGTGGCCTGCTGATGCATGAAGGCGTTCATGACGGCCTGCAACGGTATCAAAGCAAACAAATTGAAGCGCACGGTCGGCCGGAGACATTGCAGTCAAGGCATGAATGCTTACCTGATACTCGGACTGGCCGGTTTGTACGGAGTCGGGCGTGGAGTCCTTTGGCGGTGTCGGTGGGAATGGAAACGAATGCTGGCCGGCCGACGTTGTCTGATGGCTCTGGCCCACCTGGCCCAGTTTGTGCTCCATCTGCGGCTCCTGGGGGCATGCAAATTGACTCATGCCCCAAGCGCTGGCGGGTGCAAACGATTTGTGCTCGCCGGCCAGCCAGGGACTGAGCGGTGTATGAAAGTGCGGCCGGCACACTTGGGGCGTGGCATGTGAGGAGGGCATGCGGGATGCTAAAAAAAAAACAAAAACAAAAACAAAAATCAACGATAAGAATTTAATAAAACGCGCCAAAAAATCAAGTTAAATGCAGCATTAAATCAATTATGGCCAAAATTTATAACGAAGATTAACAGCCTAAGCCGCGTTGGGTGGGGGGAGAGAGCTGAACGTGTACAAGACGCAGACCAGAAGCGATAAAAAATTCATAATAAATGACGTTGTTCTCTTTTCGAGGCGGAAAAGCTGCGTTATAATTTATGAAACACCAGCAACAGTTGCTGCTGCCGCTGCGGCTGCTGCTGCTGCTGCTGCTGTCCATGGCCTGGCGAGGCTTGCGGCCTTAGCGCAAAACTTTGCATACGAAGAGGGAGAGCGCTGCGGCTTTGGCTGCTGCATTGTCATAAATTGTTTAATTTGTATCATAAACAATCGCGTTAAACTTTTGTCCCAAAGCTAAAAAGATCGATCAGAGAGGTTCGCAAATGCTGGCCGCGCTGCCCTCAGAGAGCTCGCCAGCCTCAAAGCCGGGGCTTTGGCTAAAAGTGTAGCCTAAATGTCTGGCAGTGTATAATTTAGCGGACACCAAGTGAGATTTATGTGCGCCAATGCTGCCGTTTCCATAGTTGCAACGCATCGCTGCAACGTGCCACGCCAACGTACATATATACAACATATCCTGCAATTGTTTGCAGCAGCAGCAGCAGAGAGAGGGAGTTTGCACTGCGCACTTATTCTTATTATTATCATTAATATTGGCTCCGGCTGCAGCTACGAAACAGCTCGCTGTATTAGCTTTGGGGCTTGTTTGTATGTGAAATTATTTTTGATTATGCAGCAGCCGCTGTCGAAGCTGACGCCGACTTCAACTCCAGCTCCAACTTCGACGCGAATTGCCATGCTTTGGTCGCGACTTGGCTTTGGTCTGTCCAACAGTAGGTCATTCAGTTCAATGCACGCCAAGATGGATTAGTTCGAAGCTCAAGCCCTAATCTGACAAATAAAGCCATCAGCATCAAGTCGCACTCGCGATGCTCTATACTTGATCAATTGAAAGCAAAAAACCAAGCAAAAACTCAGGGTTAATTTAGTTGTAGCAAAAATGCGTTAGATGTTTGCATATTTCCTTGAAGATTTTTGTTATATAACGTGCTCAAATGCACTCAGCGAAATTATAAAAAAAATTTAAGTCAAAACTGACATAAATTCATCATTTTTCATGGCAATAAAATTGCATAAAAAAATTTAGCAAATTTTTCAGATTTTTTTATATTAAAAATTAAGAAGAAGAGCAAGATTGTCAGCATAGCTTTTCAAAGAATCAATCAAGCTAAGCGCTTATAGAATTTAGATTTGCATTAGCTTTGCGTCTCCTGCTCAGCTCTAAGCAGTTGAGAATTCTAAGGTTTAAGAGCGAGCCAAGGCAATAGCATAATGAGAGAGCTTTTGCCTATAAAATAAATACTAATGCTTGCTTTAACTATTTTTAGCTAAATTCAAGTAGATTATGAAGAGAATAAATCGCATTTTGAATAATTATTGAAATATTTTCAAAAGCCAAAATGCCAGACAAACTTTCAACTACATCTGCTTGCGCTCAGTGCACAGAGTTCTGTTTGCTTGGACTTTCCCAAGGGTATACGAAGCTGCTGCTGCGGCTGCTGCTGCCGATCGATCGCTGTGCTGCGATAATATCCATTTGATTATCCTAATAACAGTGCTTTAGCGGGCATATTATATGTACGTGTGTCTGATTATAGAAATTATGCACAGCAGCCAATGCAGACGCAGACGGAGACGCAGGCGCAGTTGCTGTCTGCTGAGATAGTTTTCTTCTTCTTTTTGGGGTCTCAATTGTAGCGGCTTGTTACAAAAACGGAACAGGCTCTGGCTGAGCACAAACTTCACACTTTTGCAGCAGAGACAATTGCAGCGACGTGCTCGGGCAGCAAGAGCTGCAGCTGCCAATGCACTGATAAACCAATATGAAGTCGTCATCGAGCGGGCTAAGTGTATATAATTTCGGGTTGCCCAAATAAGCGCATTCGATATGCCAAATTATATATGCGAGGGCCAAACTTTAATTGCGGCCAATGAAAACTTTCAATTTGCGATGGTGTTAACGATAACAGAGCGCTGTTAAGGCTGCTGTTAAAGCGTGCATGAGTCACTGTTAGCTGCTGCGACGGCTGCTGCTGCTGCTGTTGTTAAAGGCTGTTGGCATCTTTTTGTATAAAACAATTCGCTAATAAATCAAGCTGAGTACAGCAATTAAAGTTGCAAAAACATATACACACATACAGCGACAGTTTGTTGTTGTTGTTGTTATTGTCATGTCGGTATGCAAAGCTCGTGCTGGTGAAAAGCGGCGACGTCGTCGGCGTCGTGCCCTTGGCCGTCCCCCAAAGCCAAAAAGCCTGGCTGACACGTTCTACACAACAACAGCAACAGCAACAAAAATAACAACAGTAACAACAACAGCAATAAACAAAGCGCTACAATAAAATCTGCCTTTAATTTTTGTTGTAGAAACAAACAAAAAAACATTTTGAAGTTTTTGGCCTGAGCTTGATTTCTTCAAACTGACAGATCAAAGCCACAAAGCCGACTCATGAGTGTGTGTGTGTGTGTGTGTGTGTTAGAGACACTCCATAAAGCGACGCTTGGACATGTGTGTGGCGTTTTAAAAGCGTTTGACAAGCGACTCAACTCGAACTCAACTCGAGCTGAAGTCAACTTAAAGCCAAATCTCAACTCAGCGCCTGTACGTCTAAGCCCTGTCTGCCAACTCTTAACTGAAAAAGCGTACCGAAAGCGCCTTTTAATTGCAGTTTCAAATGGTTGTTGTTGCTTCTGTGGCTAGTCGGCAACGTGAATGACATAATTAATAGTATGCACAGCCAGCGAAGCACTTAGCTCGACGTGTTTGACATTTGAAGATGACAATCCCTGACAGAGCGAACAGAGCGAACAGAGCGGACAGGAGCTGCAGCAGGTGATGGGCGATAGGCGAACCCATTGGCCATTCAATTAACCAAAATGCAACAAAAATGGAGAGAAAAAACAGCAGCTGGCAAAGGCTTTGGCTATGCCAATGGCAGCGCCTTATCACATCTCATTTGAATGATCAGCAGCAGCGGCAACAAAAGAACTGAAACCTCAGCCTCAGTGACAACTCGATTCAATGCGCGAACATCTTGATAAGCCAGTTAGGGATGCTATTAGAGCCGCAGAGCAAAATGTAACAGTTACTGCTGCTCGGCGTAAAAGGATTGCCAGCTCTTTGCTAAATTAAATTCACACCAATACGGGTTAGGGGTGCGAAAGAGAGTTCGTCTTATCGCGGATGGCAAATCAAATCGCCAAATGAATACGAGCCAGTAAATGTAACGTATGTCAGTCAAGGCAGCGAGGCAGTTCGACAGTCACTCTGACAGTCAGTTAGATCGGCTCAGTCAGTCGCCTGCTTCAGCTGCTTCCGCCTGGCATTAAGCCACAATCAATCATACAAGAAAAAAAAAAAGAGAAAAAGGCAGCCAACGGCTGAGACAGTCGATCCAGTGTCTTAGTGAATCCTGCAATGACCCCTCGCTGTTGCGAGCTGCCTTGCTGCTGCAGGCGCTCGCTTAATTTATAACCTGCGCGACCCTCGCTCTTGGCCAGGACTCGAATGTAGACTTTTCACCTGCCTCGCTTGTAGGCGCGTGGCTCCAAAATGCGGTCAAGTGTCTCTGCGACTGGCTGCTTACACCTGCTCCAAATTTAAAATGCGGCAAAGCGGCAGCAGCAGCGGTGGCAATAAACTATAACGGATTCCAGTTTTTAGCCACCACCGTAGCAGCCTAGCTGCTAGCAGGTAGGTCAGTTAGAGGCCGCAAAAGACACCTTGAGTCAGGTTGAGCTGACGTTCAGCTGGGAGCTGCTCTCCAGCTCTGCGAGCTGTTTAGCATTTTGCGCTCTTGTTTGTTTTAATTATTTCTTTGCTTTTTCATATTTTGCTAGCTTGGCGCATATTGCAGCACAGCTGAGTTGCGTGCCAACAGCCTGACTGCCTGACTGCCTGACTGACTGGTTGACTGCTTGACTGGCTGGCTGACTGACAGGCTGGCGGCTGCTTTATTAAGCGCAAACTGCGCTGCCATTGCCATCTATATTATTAACACTTTATTTGCGGTTCTCTGTGTACAACGCCCCCCTGCTTCACTACAAGCCGTCTTCTGACGCTGCTCCAGTTGCATGCCAGCTTATCATTAGTCATAAGTTGTCAATTGTATTTATGATAATGCGTTTAATAACTTAACCACGAATTCTCAGCCAGCTCCTTGCCACGCATAGCCCAGAGTTATTTCTTGACTATGTTTTTACTTTGTAAAATTTGAATTATTTTTTAACCATTTCATTTGTTATTAATTGCTTAATGTGTATAGCTCTCGCAGCAAGTATTTCGTTCCACTAGATCTTATCAATCAATATAAAGCATTCCCTTTAATGAAATGCTAATTTCTGATAGATAACTTCACTAAGTTGCCTCTGAGTAATTCGTATTATTATTAATGCTACTAAAGACTACTGAATAAGTAGCGGCTCAATGCTTCACATGTCATGATAATGTATATACACTGCTGGTCAATATATTAGGCGCAGCTCTGAAACTTTTATAACTTTTATTGTAGAAACAATGGAAAGTTGTATTTTCCACCATTTTTTTGAAGCAGTTTGCATTCAAAACAAATTAAGAAAATAAATTCTTCAAATTATTTATAATTTAGCTTCAATGTACAACAACAAAAACAAACTTTAAAATATGAAAACATTTTCAACAAAAATCTAAAATGTTATAAAATATATTTTAAAAAATTTAATAAATTCTGACAGTTATTGTCAATGACAAATATTAAGAAACAATTATAAAAAATATAGAAATATTAAAAAAATATAGATTACAAATGCTGTTATTTATTTTAAGCATTAACTATTCAAATTCAGAAATTTTCAAATTTTTAATAAATATTTA